AGATGGCCTGAGAAGTCGCTAGAAACACAAGTTCCCAGACCCCACCTCCAAACTACTGGAGGCCTGGGAGAAAGGCTCCACAATGTGTGTTTCAGTAAGGCCCCAGGTGATTCTTTTACGTACTATTGTTGTAGAATCACTGACATGTAGTGTCATAGAATGTACCCTTAGTGAACTTACACCAACACAAACGCAAGCTCCTGCTTCCTACACAGAGGCAGTCAGGAGACAAAGACAATGTTGAAGAAATTAGAGTGAATTATGATGTTTCCTTTTCATGCAAAGAGTGAAGCTATTATCTAGATTTGAATTAGCCACCTCTGCAATCCATTGTACTTCCAGACACAGGCATACTGTGATTCACTAATGTCTTCCATTATTTTATAATAATTTTTTAAAAGATACATAATTTTTAAAAATCTTGAACTAAGGCMTCAGAAGTATACCCATTTTCAACAAGTGAATAGTTGATGAATTGATATAACTTGCTGGGTATGTGATACAAGTACAGATGATGGACACCTTTTTTTTTTCTGTGCAATTTCCCATGACTATGTGAGTGTGTATTAGATTTTCTGTAGTGTGACCTATTTAATAAATACCTTGATTCCACAAATTATCACACTTTGTTTCCTCCATTTGGAGCTGAAAGAAAAAAACTGATACAAGTTATATGGTAGAAGATTATTCAGGAATAATGATAAGATGCTTTTTGTTTCAGTGTTAGCTAACATCCTGTCAAAAAGAGGATTTAACACTTTATTGATACAGGTTTCATTCTCAAAAATGAAATGGGACTCGTTCACTGGAGCAAAATGAAACCAATGGGACTTGATAGAATCCTCAGAGTGTTTTCTTTGGTGTATAGGACCCCRGTTCACCAATGGGTGAATGACATCATGGAGGTAAAACATAAGAARGAGATAGACATCAAGTATGTCACAAGTAATATAAAGAAAACTAGAATTAATTGAAAAATATCTCTACCATTGTATGCCTTAGTACCTAAGGACTATAATAATCATCTTTCAAAGGCTCAGTGTTAATGCTTTTTGTATTAAAATGCAAGCATCTCCTGGGACGGCTTGCCTGATCTCAACTAATTACAACAAGATTGTGCTAATGGACCAAAGGAAATGTTCCTAGGAGAGTGTGGACCAAGGGAAATATTCCTAGGAGAGTGGGCAGTTGAGTGTAACAGGGAGAGGAAGAGACTGTGTGGAGAAAATGTAGGACACTTGAGAACAAGCCATCTGTTTCATAATTTCATGGGGAAACTTGCAATTTTATACTTCATTAAAAATTTTTGGTGTTTAATGTATGGGAGGCTGTATTGGAGCCCAGTTGAAAGAGTGGTTTATAAAATACAGTGCTTGTACATTTTTTTTACCTTGTTTCTCAGAATAAAAAAGATGTTCTGAAGGTCATCCTTTTCTCCCAGTATGATTATTTTTTATTTCACTAAAATCAGTTAATTTGGAAGAGAGTGAAACTTTCTGAGAACGAGTTGGGTGCAGCCTCATCAGGCAATCAGACACAAGATCAACACAGCTGTTGGGACTGCACCAGCTGGAAGATTCTCATCACAAGCCCGCCCGTCAGAGTGCAGGAGAAGAAAGCATGGTTGTCATGTGGGGTGATACCAGCAAGATTTATTAATTTACTCMTCTAAGAGATATTTAAAATCACTGCCAGGCTTCTTGAAGATTATAAAGCATAGAATTTTAATATAAGCAGGATTTGGGCTGTTCTAAAATTTCTTTCTTCAAATGCAAACACTGCTTTTCTTGAAAATGGGGCACATAAAATCTACTATTTTTCTGAAAAAAAAAACATACACCATACCACAAACCAAGATTTTGTGTATAATATRTTTATTTGCATACAGAAATATGTATTTCTATGGTACATTTTATTATTGTATTTATAGTATGTATATATATAAGCATACAGCATATTCCAGATAGATATATTAAATATGCACACAGTTCATGCTACAGCGTGCACCCTTTTAAGAGAAGCTTTTATTGAAGGGGCATGGTATTGTATATACATGCTGAAAATAYACAGGTTCATCCAGCTGTGGGTGCTTTCCTAATCTATTTGCAACACCAGTACTATGGTTGTTGAAAAGGATATTATTAATCTGGATAGGGGAGGCAACTATCAATGAACTCAGCAGAAGAAAACAAGTTAGACTGCATTACTAAGTAACTGTTGCCATCATGTTGAACGCCCATCTGTCAAAAATGTCATCTCTTCAAGACCAAAAAGCAGTGAGTGGACAGAGGGCAGAGTACGTGGGACCTCCAGCTTCCACATGTCAACCCAGAGAGCTTATTTCTTGTGACTTATTATATTGACAACTTTTGTCTTACAATAGGGATCTGGGATTAAATTAAGGATGAACGGGTGAAAAGTCAATTATTTCTTTTTTCAGGAAGTGTACTGGTCCTTTTCATATTAATCTCATCTTCTTGTAAGACCACTCTGGGATATTTACATTATTGCTACGAGGAAAGAAGCAATGAAGGCTTAACAGATAACGGATGTTCCCAGCAAAAGCTAAGGAGACATTGAATTGTATTGTCTCATTATTCTGAAAAGAAAAATGGTAGCTTTGATACAAWTTGACCGTATGAACTACAAACATTTTTGATGGTTAACAATTGCAACCTTCTGACTAGACTCCATGACAATCACGAYCAAACATTAAGATGTTAGAAATAATAGGCATGGATTGGTGACTTTGAATACATACATAGGACCTGTGTTCCCAGTYTTTGAATCACAAATACTCCAGAGTCAATAGAGAAATGTTTCTTATATGTTGTTGATTAATATTACTTTTCTTTTCCAACAGGTGAGCAATTCGCAATAATTTTCTAAAAGTGAGTTATTTCTCCACTCACAGAAAGTTAATTCTAGGAATTCCTTTATTAAAAAAAATTGAGTTTCTTAGCCATGGCACTATGTACATTTCAAAATAAATAAATTTTGTTTGGAGGGTATGGGAGCCTGTCCTCTGCATGGTGACCTGTTCAGCCATATTCCTGGCTCTACCCATTAAATACAAGTGTCTTCCTCCAACTTATGGCAGCAAAAAAAATGTCTTTATACATTGCTCAAAATGCTAAATGTTCCCCTAGGGAAAAAAGGCCCCTGGTGGGGAGTCACCAAAATAGGCAAACCCAACAAGAGTTAACATAAACTTTGGATACGGTTTCCATATTTCTCCAATCACCTTCAGTGTTTCTTCCATTTTTCTGATTCTAGTTTCCATGGTATGGCAGTCTCACTTGGATTCTTTTCTTTAATTTGGCAGTTTCTTTTTCAATGAAGTTGTGGTGGCTGGGGTGTGTATCAAGAACAAGAGGAAGATGCATACAATGGCAATGGATAGTTAGAGACAGTTTGACTCACATACTTTGGGTTGTTAGAGCAAACAAAACAGAAGCCCCTCATAAATCTTGGGATCCAAAGGGTTCATCCCATCTAAACCAAGTCTACATCATGGTGATACAACCAATGAAAAAGTGAAGTAGTAGGCCAAGGGGTCATTTTGTTTACAGGAAACAAGGAGCCCATTGACTTGATGTTCTTTCCACTCAATTGATTTTAGCCAATGTGAAGAGATGCCATGTAAAAAAAACTATGTGAATTTAAAATCAAAAAGTTTACACTGAATTATTTATAGACTAAAAATAATTATTTATAGACTAAAAGAGCCCATATGAATGGATAATATGAGGTTACACATGAAATATTGGGTGGGGGTAGACAAATGGAATTGTTCAACCAAAGAGTTATTTTTATAAATAATAAGTTACCTACAAATATTGTGGGCAATTTTCTTCTTATTAATTCACAACTTTTGTTGTTGCCTTTGTGCGTCTTCTTCTTCTTTTTCTTCTTCCTGTTCGCCTTCTTCAACTCTCCAAATTGATGAGAAAAGTTATATAAAATAACAGTAGTAAGTTCTAGGGTTTAAGGCTGACAAATTTGTCATGTAACTCACATGACCTACCACATCATATCRGGGCAAGATATTGTGTAGTCATGAATCATAAATGCAATATATGACATTTGAAATAAAATTTACAAATTTAATTTCTATCCATTGGGTCATCTGTATAAAATATGATTGGAAGACTATAGAGAATAATGTAAGAAAATATATGAAGGTTTAAAATAACTAATGAAATGTGAATCAATTTATACCACACYTTTTGTGCTACAAAATAACATGTCTGTACCTGGACAAGTTTCATGTAATACCAGTATAATTATTCCTGACCTGATTTTTTATAATCTGGAATTAGTGAGAAGAGACAAGGAAATATCCACCTACATTCTTCTGTTATATTTAGAGAATTTGTTGGTTAACATTTGGATCACAAAGAGTACTACAATTCTACTAAAACCAGAGAATTTTGTGTTAAATAATCTTAGGGAAAGTTGGCAAGTTGAGGAATATGAAATATGTACTTTCAGTTAAGTATTTCTGTTTTTCTTTTCTCCTTCCAACAGGTACTAGTATAGTTATGCAACCTAATTTGATAATAATTTGAATATCCACCATGATTGGGCAATGAATTGAAGATCTGACTCTTCTGAGACTAAGTAAACTAACCTTGTTTAGAAATCCCAATGAAAAAAAGCTGCTGAAAATATCAGGAGTTTGTATTATACAAGTTAACATTTCATACTTGGGTCAGGCAGATTCAGGTTCAAACAGAAAACAACTCTAACCTTCTATCTTCTCATCTCAAAATTCATCTGGCATCTATACACATTCTCCAGCTGGACTGTCCATTTTTTAATTTGAGGAAATCTAAACTTTAGGATGACTCTGATTTCTCAAGCATRTTTATGTGTTGGGGAGACTATTCTGTTAAAATAAAAGGCTAGTGTAGAAGGAAATGTTCTACACATAGGATCATAAGTGAATTAAAGCCTTATAGAATTTCTGACTCCCAGGAAGGCCAAAGATGCAGTGAGAGGGGAGAAGTGCCCGTGTTCAAGCTGTCTGTGGATGGACTGGATGAAAGTCCAAAGGTACTACCATAAGCCATGTAGAATGGACAAGTGCAAACCTAGACCATAATAAAAATAAATGGTGTCATCTAGATGGGTTTTTGTTTGTTTGCTTGCTTTTCATGGATGGAAAAAGGGACAGGTAGAAAAAAAAAAGCGCTGATTGTAGTGCGGTCCTCCAAATAATATCATACCTAAAGAAGAGAATCTGCTTGACACTCTGGAGACCGTTTCTGCAGCCTTTTGGATTTCTTTTCTTCACTTGCCCGTTGTATAATGTCCATTTCTCTATAGTGTGTATTCTGGCATTTCGTCCTCACAGGGACACATGAGAACAAAAGGAAAGAGAAACAACAAAAAAGAATAGGTTTTTCTTCTTGTGCAGAGACTGACAGATTTGTAGATTCATAAGCCTTTCTTCAAGAGAGTACGGCAGCCTAGATTGTTCCTTAAATGCACAGTTCCAACATGTCTCTTTTATTGTCTYGTTGCTCCTAAACTGACAGTGTTTATAAGGTGAAAGTTTTTTTTTTTTTTCAAACTGGAGCTATGGCATGAAAAGAGGGTCACTGTGGAGCTCCTTATTTTCCATTCCATAATAAGACCATAAAGTGCAAGGGCAGAGATTTTAATAGTAGGAGCTCTTTTATCCTCTTTATACTTCCCAAGCTCCCCTGACCATTTCYCTTCTTTTCAAAGATGTTTTACCTTGTTGCACCTATGTTCTTGTAATGACACATGAGAAGGTGTTTAAAGGTCTTCTTGAAGGTGGCATTACACAGTGCATAGCAGGCGGGGTTGATAGTACTGTTGATGTAACAGAGCCAATAACCAATGGTCCACACTGTGTTGGGGATGCATGGTGCACAGAAGGTGTTAATGAGCACCATGACATTGTATGGGGCCCAGGTGATGATGAAAGCCAACAGGATAGCCAAGATTGTCCTGGTCACTTTCTTTTCCCGGGAAGGAGGAGGCTTCTTCTTTGCAGGCTGCTTGGTCATCTTCACGATCTTGCGGGCTACAATGTTCTGTTTTTCTTCTCCGTTCTGACCAGAAGACCCAACTAGCTCCACAGTGGTATTAGTTGGTGTACAGGAGTCACCTTTTTGGGTCTTGGTGACAATTTTGATGCATGTTTGCTTCGAGTTCTCATCTTTGGAATGGCCCAAGGAAGTGGAAACTGTGTTTTCATCCTGGGTTATTTCATCATCTCTCATATTGGAGGCCACAGCACTGACTGAGGTGGAATCGTTGGAGCTCTCTTTCTCTTCCCCCTGGACGCAGTTCTCGGTCACAGCATCTCTGGTGGCCTTGCCATTCTGGATTTTGTTGTGCTCCAGGCCACCGTCATTGCCGGGCATGTTGTTATTATTTGGCTTCACTATTCTTCCTTGCACCAGACTTGGAGAAACTGGATCTTGGTTGGCCACGGGCTCTTTCTTCTCCTTCTTTATCCTGCTCTTGCTGGCTCGGGATATATGCCAATACAGCACAGTCATGATGATCACTGGCAGATAGAAGGCTGCAATGGCGGTACCAAAGGTGACAGCGGCATTGGAGAAAAACTGAATGTAGCATTCCCCATCCTCCACAGTTCTCACCCCTACAATGAACTGCCAGAAGAGAATGGCCGGAGCCCAGAGGATAAAGGACAGGACCCAAGCGGCTGCGATCATCATCCCTGCCATTTTCGTGGTCCGCTTAACGGGGTAGGTCAGAGGTTTGGTGACACAGAAGTATCTGTCAAAGCTGATGATGAGCAGATTCATGACAGAGGCATTGCTGACCACATAGTCCAAGGCTAGCCAGAGGTCACACACCACAGGTCCTAGAGGCCAGTAGCCGATCACAGTGTAGAGGGTGTACAAGTTCATGGAGAAAACACCTATGATGAGGTCAGCACAGGCCAAACTGAACAAAAAGTAGTTGTTGACTGTCTGGAGGTGGCGGTTGACTTTAATGGAAACCATGACCAGGATGTTTCCAATAATAGTCACCAAGCTGAGGGATCCAGCCACCAGGACAATAAACACCACTTCAAATGTCTTATAAGGACTGGTGATTGCCAGGCCATTATTAGAGGAGTTTGTTGAGTTATTCATTTTGTGTTCAGTAGCCAAGTAGCCAAATCAACATTTAAGCCTGTAGGGAAATAGGATAAAATTAAGAATTATAACCTGAATATGCTTTAAAATACATTAGATTTCTCTCTTTTGAGTTTTACTTCCCCCTACTGCCATCTTGCTTCTCCTGCATGATCATTGTGCCTGCCTGTGTGAGTTCCCCACAAAAAGGTCAAAAACTTCATAAGGGGGATTCAAGAGGTCCTCTCAGGGTGGCCATGAACTTGAAGGCCAAGAACATTTTGAATGTTTCCATATAGGGATGTGAGTACCTATCTATGTATCATCTTTTCATCTCCTGAATCAAGTAAACAGAGCATAATTCTGATAAATTGAACTAAATACACCAAAGCTACCAAAGCATCAAGGGTCTTCTAGAATGTACATACAGATTAATAATCCAGTGGGAGGACAATATTATGGGAGAAAGCATGAAACTGCATATGTGGCTTCTCCAGCCAATAGCACCTGCCTTCCTGGTAGCTCCAAGCCTTTTTCATAATTATATTACGGAGAGGGATAGTAAAGACAACATAATGATATTTTCTTAATCAATATAATTCCCCCCAAAGAACAATTTTCTTTGATCTCTGTTTTATGAGGTCAGAAAAAAATTGTTCTTTGAGGGGAATTATCACCTAGCATTAAAATTTCCAATATTCCATATTGCTTATTAAATGCATATTGATAGAATTGTACCAATTTTCAGAATGCTTTTTTTTTTCTTTCAAACCTCTATGAACTCTGCTTTTTACTGTGCTTTCTGCTAAACCTTTTGCTTTGCAGAAAATGGAACCATGGTCCAGAAAGCTGAGAGTCTGGTATCAGGTCACATATAGAATCAGTGACAGGGATGAGACTGTGAACCTGTTTGCACAATCCTTCATTTGTTTACCTCGTCCTCATCCTGTGGAGCAGCTTCACTCCATTAGGCATTGCAATATAGTCTGAGCATTCTGCGATGATGAGGACAGGGTTCCTGCTTGTGAGAGGCATGAGCTCTGGCAGCTAAGATAGCTTGGATAGAGAATTGATTATACAAGCTGTGTGCACTCTCTGCTGCCTAACCCTGTTGCACTAAAGTAAATACATCATTGCCATTTTTTTCCACCCAATTCTGCCAAAGTCTGATGACCACCGAGTGATCTTTCATAAGGGAGAACATATGGTGTCCTGTAGGACAGAAAGTTAAGAATTCATCAAGAAATATGTTTCCGGGGAAAAGCATCTAAGAGAAAATGTAATCCAACTTCTGCCTCTTTTTTGAAAAAGAAAATTGCTGCGAGCTGTGTGTCAGAAAATAAGAATACTGAGAAATTATTTGGTGTCACGTCAAAATTCAGAAATCTCTATTGATTCTAAAACCACTTATTTCTAAGTAATGGTATGAGATTCAGTGGGGGCAGTGGTTTGCTCTTGAAATCCATGTAGAAAATTCTTTGTTAAGTACTTCACAGCAGAAATAGCATTTGAACAAATGGTTTATTCTGCTTAAGAGAGGAAATTATCTTCAAGCATTTTAATAATAAAAAACCTTAATAATAKAGTAGGATTTTGACCCTAATTGATCAGACCATAAATTCAATAGCCATAAAAATATTCAGTAAGTACTACATGCATCATTTTTGCAGAGAAAAATAAATTAATATAGAAAAAATATTTGTAAGCACATAACAGAAAATCACCTATTTCCCTTAATACAAAATAATTTGAGGAAAAAAAAAAGAGGAAAGATGAAAGACTAACAACCTAAAACACTGAAATGCAAGTTAGATTAAAAAATAAATTAATATAAGTGACTTTTACATATAAAAGAGATATTCAACTTCATAATTTAAAAATAAAACCACAAATATATAAGGCTACCGTCTAGTTTTATGAAAATATTTGGCGATTTCCATTGGAGAATAATGCATAACATTTACTTTTAAAAGCAGGCTTTTGAAATCAACTGATTTGATTCTTTATTTGAAAGATTACAGAAAGCACTGGAAGAGTAAATAGGGGATTTGTCCTTGATTTTTTGATTCTTATCATAATTATTGTTAATTAATTAATTATAATTATTATTATTGTAGAATTGATAGTAACACAGTCATATAATCCTCACTCTGCCCTCTACTTATTTTTTATTTTTTTTTATTTCCTCTCTTCTCACTCATCCTTCTTCTGTTTACCAGTAGCATGCATTTTTTTTCAATAGAAAAATAATTAAAGGAAAATGTAGCCTTAGGTCTCCCAAACATGTACACTTTATAGAAATGCTAACAGCTATACACATACCCAGGGCAGATTCTATCACCTCCTTTATGTGAAGAAAATTGAAATTATAAAAAAGGTTAAGAAGCCTGTCCTTTCAGCCCAAGGCTGGTGAGCAAATGATTTACAACTAAACCTACCATCCTTCCTGGCAGGTTACTCTTTCCCCTTGAAAAAATTGTAATTCATCCAGTAACAAAGAAAACTGTTAGGCAGCAGCATGAAGATGAACTATACCCAAAGATTTCTAGCTGATAGACTGTTATGGGGAACTTGGGATGCTTATTGAGGTAGAACACATTGCACTAACAGAGTTAGCTACTACTATATCCCCTAAAATTTTAGTTGTATTATTTTCTTAGTTCTGCTAATGCTCTGTATAAAAATGGAAAACATTCTGCTTAGAAGCAGGCACAAGTATTTGAAGGGTGGCCTTCCTGTCTTCTAGTGTAAGCACAGAGTAGTTATGCATGTTCCTCCTCCATGAAAGAAAGCTTCCGTTCATCAAGTCCATCAACCCCTTGCTGCTTCTGCTGTTTAAATTTCTATAAAAGCTTTTACTTCTAGTGTGGCACCATAGGGTGTCATTAAGGCAACAATAGTTACATCATTGATGAAACAACATAATCACAACAGACTAAATGATGAAGATGACCTTCAAAGAGCTCTGCATCTTAATATGGCAAGTGTGTAATAACCGTCCATCTGGTATTTTACAGTTTGGTTTCTGACTGAGTTCTGGTAGGCCTATGGAAACTGACGAGAAGAAAATTTTTCTGCCCTTAGTTTCTTTGCTACTTCAGTCCCTACACATATCAGAGMGGAATGCAACTGTGATTCAATATTTTCTTCACAAAGTTATGGGTGCTAATCTCTGCTCTCATTTATTAGGTAGGTGACACTGAGCCTCTAAATTAAATTCCAAAACCTTAAATTTTTTTCCTCTCAAACAGGAGTAATAATAATCCTCCTTTTATTTCAGAGTGGTGGCAAGGATCATAGTGACATAATGTCTTTGAACCATGATCTACACATGTTAACTATTAAAGAAATGYTAATAATTTTCAAACCTGTCAAATTAGTATAAATTATTCACCTTTCCTAATAGCTAACAGAAAGTCATGTTTGTGTATGTGTCTTTGAACCATGTTAAGAATGGGAAGGTGCAGGGTGTAGAGGCTGAAGTAATACTAAATTATCATTATCGATGATATAAATTACCAATAACATTAGGGCCAACAAAAATTATGATGATAACACATTTAGAGGATAGTAACTCTTCAAAGCACCTCATAAGGTGAGTGGTATTTTTATTATACACCTTTATAAATGTTAAAGATCAAAGAATTAGGTTACTTGACACTCAAACCGAAGTCACCCAATTGTAGACTATGCTACAAGCACGGTCTGAGGACTGGTCTCAATAGTTAAAATCACTCACAAACACAGTGGCCTGCCATACCTGAACCCTATGCTCAAACATCAAGTTAGTATCTCGATGAGGAAAACTAAGTAAAGGTCATCATATCTAGGTCAATATTGCAGCTTTGGGTGGAGATATTCACAGCAAGATAAAAAATCAGTAAGTGGAGTTCTGCACGAGAAAATATGTGATATTTGAGATTCAAAAAATTTTACTGAAACAACCATCAAAAACTAAAATTTTTGATTTGTAAGAGAGCTGGGAATGTAGCTCAATGAGATGAGCAAGATATGCAAAATACCCTGGTTTTGATCCCAGCACTGGAAAGATAGCTATATGCATATATCACCATGTGAGCTGATAAATAGCCCCTCACAAAAACACTCATACTGATGGCATACATTTTCTAAATACTAACAATAATGGATTTTTTTTCTGAATTGTTAAAGAGAGAATACTAATTCATTTTTTAAAATATTCTGAAATACATTCACAAGTTGATAATTAAATAAAATAAATGTGATTTTCTTCAAACCCTTCCCAGCTCAAGCAGCATGCCTAATGAACATATGAAGAACACTTTCATAGGTGCATCTGTGGTATAGTAAGCTAACAACCTGTGAGTAGCCTAAGTGCTAGACTTTTTTTTATTTTGCATGTCATTTCATTTAATTCTCACAATAGCCCTAACATGATTATCATTCTCTTTTCCTGTTTTATAGATGATTATAATCAGAGAGCCAGCAACTGCTGGGGCCATGATTCAAATTTAGGTCTGTGTGACTCCTAGGAATACATTATTTCCACTAATGTTCTACCATGTAATAGAAAGTAAATCACAAAAAAATGTGTTCTAGAGGAATTAGAAAGTCAAGGGGAAAAATGAATCTGTGATAGGAAACCATTAAATCTGGAGGGAGATGATATGTGATCGTAAAATAAAATTTAGAACAAGAAGGGAGTTTGGAAATCAAGAGGGACTTACATAAAGTTGAATTTATAATTGCTTATATTTCTTTAACTTTTGTTTTTAAAATGTAATCTTACTGAATACACTTCTAGTTTTTGCTGCCATTTGAGCACATTATTAATAGTTGTAAGATGTTCTGGATGATCTTCCTCCATCTCTTTCAGCTATTGAGATCTAAAAAGCAGCATATTCACTGAGCGAACACAGTAACAGAATCATAAGCCTTGCCAAAGTTGCCTGAAATTCCCACAAATGACAAGGCAGCAATAAGGTCATGTTAGCCTTTAATTTATGGATATTAGGACTAAACACCATCCTATGTTCTGAGACAATTAAAATTTTGTTTCAATCATATTATACTTAGGAA